AAGTCTTATACTGAACGTGTGTCTGTGGTTCTAAAGTCTTATTCTGAACATGTGTCTGTGGTTCTAAAGTCTTATACTGAACATGTGTCTGTGGTTCTAAAGTCTTATACTGAACATGTGTCTGTGGTTCTAAAGTCTTATACTGAACATGTGTCTGTGGTTCTAAAGTCTTATACTGAACATGTGTCTGTGGTTCTAAAGTCTTATTCTGAACATGTGTCTGTGGTTCTAAAGTCTTATTCTGAACATGTGTCTGTGGTTCTAAAGTCTTATTCAGAACATGTGTCTGTGGTTCTAAAGTCTTATACTGAACATGTGTCTGTGGTTCTAAAGTCTTATACTGAACATGTGTCTGTGGTTCTAAAGTCTTATACTGAACATGTGTCTGTGGTTCTAAAGTCTTATACTGAACATGTGTCTGTGGTTCTAAAGTCTTATACTGAACGTGTGTCTGTGGTTCTAAAGTCTTATACTGAACGTGTGTCTGTGGTTCTAAAGTCTTATACTGAACATGTGTCTGTGGTTCTAAAGTCTTATTCTGAACATGTGTCTGTGGTTCTAAAGTCTTATACTGAACATGTGTCTGTGGTTCTAAAGTCTTATTCTGAACATGTGTCTGTGGTTCTAAAGTCTTATTCTGAACATGTGTCTGTGGTTCTAAAGTCTTATACTGAACATTTGTCTGTGGTTCTAAAGTCTTATACTGAACATTTGTCTGTGGTTCTAAAGTCTTATACTGAACATGTGTCTGTGGTTCTAAAGTCTTATTCTGAACATGTGTCTGTGGTTCTAAAGTCTTATACTGAACATGTGTCTGTGGTTCTAAAGTCTTATACTGAACATGTGTCTGTGGTTCTAAAGTCTTATACTGAACGTGTGTCTGTGGTTCTAAAGTCTTATACTGAACGTGTGTCTGTGGTTCTAAAGTCTTATACTGAACGTGTGTCTGTGGTTCTAAAGTCTTATACTGAACATGTGTCTGTGGTTCTAAAGTCTTATACTGAACATGTGTCTGTGGTTCTAAAGTCTTATACTGAACATGTGTCTGTGGTTCTAAAGTCTTATACTGAACATGTGTCTGTGGTTCTAAAGTCTTATACTGAACATGTGTCTGTGGTTCTAAAGTCTTATACTGAACATGTGTCTGTGGTTCTAAAGTCTTATACTGAACATGTGTCTGTGGTTCTAAAGTCTTATACTGAACGTGTGTCTGTGGTTCTAAAGTCTTATACTGAACATGTGTCTGTGGTTCTAAAGTCTTATACTGAACATGTGTCTGTGGTTCTAAAGTCTTATAAGGAACATGTGTCTGTGGTTCTAAAGTCTTATAAGGAACATGTGTCTGTGGTTCTAAAGTCTTATACTGAACATGTGTCTGTGGTTCTAAAGTCTTATACTGAACATGTGTCTGTGGTTCTAAAGTCTTATACTGAAGATGTGTCTGTGGTTCTAAAGTCTTATACTGAACGTGTGTCTGTGGTTCTAAAGTCTTATATGAACATGTGTGTCTGTGGTTCTAAAGTCTTATACTGAACATGTGTCTGTGGTTCTAAAGTCTTATACTGAACATGTGTCTGTGGTTCTAAAGTCTTATACTGAACATGTGTCTGTGGTTCTAAAGTCTTATACTGAACATGTGTCTGTGGTTCTAAAGTCTTATTCAGAACATGTGTCTGTGGTTCTAAAGTCTTATTCTGAACATGTGTCTGTGGTTCTAAAGTCTTATTCTGAACATGTGTCTGTGGTTCTAAAGTCTTATATGAACATGTGTCTGTGGTTCTAAAGTCTTATATTGAACATGTGTCTGTGGTTCTAAAGTCTTATACTGAACATGTGTCTGTGGTTCTAAAGTCAATATAAATGTGTCTGTGGTTCTAAAGTCAATATAAATGTGTGTCTGTGGTTCTAAAGTCTTATACTGAACATGTGTCTGTGGTTCTAAAGTCTTATACTGAACATGTGTCTGTGGTTCTAAAGTCTTATACTGAACATGTGTCTGTGGTTCTAAAGTCTTATACTGAACATGTGTCTGTGGTTCTAAAGTCTTATACTGAACATGTGTCTGTGGTTCTAAAGTCTTATAAGGAACATGTGTCTGTGGTTCTAAAGTCTTATACTGAACATGTGTCTGTGGTTCTAAAGTCTTATTCTGAACATGTGTCTGTGGTTCTAAAGTCTTATACTGAACATGTGTCTGTGGTTCTAAAGTCTTATACTGAACATTTGTCTGTGGTTCTAAAGTGTTATTCTGAATGTGTGTCTGTGGTTCTAAAGTCTTATACTGAACGTGTGTCTGTGGTTCTAAAGTCTTATACTGAACATGTGTCTGTGGTTCTAAAGTCTTATACTGAACATGTGTCTGTGGTTCTAAATTCTTATTCTGAACATGTGTCTGTGGTTCTAAAGTCTTATACTGAACATGTGTCTGTGGTTCTAAAGTCTTATACTGAACATTTGTGTCTGTGGTTCTAAAGTGTTATTCTGAACGTGTGTCTGTGGTTCTAAAGTCTTATACTGAACATGTGTCTGTGGTTCTAAAGTCTTATTCTGAGCATGTGTCTGTGGTTCTAAAGTCTTATACTGAACGTGTGTCTGTGGTTCTAAAGTCTAATACTGAACGTGTGTCTGTGGTTCTAAAGTCTTATACTGAACGTGTGTCTGTGGTTTTAAAGTCTTATACGGAACATGTGTCTGTGGTTCTAAAGTCTTATACTGAACATGTGTCTGTGGTTCTAAAGTCTTATACTGAACATGTGTCTGTGGTTCTAAAGTCTTATACTGAACATGTGTCAGTGGTTCTAAAGTCTTATTCTGAACATGTGTCTGTGGTTCTAAAGTCTTATAAGGAACATGTGTCTGTGGTTCTAAAGTCTTATAAGGAACATGTGTCTGTGGTTCTAAAGTCTTATACTGAACATGTGTCTGTGGTTCTAAAGTCTTATTCTGAGCATGTGTCTGTGGTTCTAAAGTCTTATACTGAACGTGTGTCTGTGGTTCTAAAGTCTAATACTGAACGTGTGTCTGTGGTTCTAAAGTCTTATACTGAACATGTGTCTGTGGTTCTAAAGTCTTATTCTGAACATGTGTCTGTGGTTCTAAAGTCTTATTCTGAACATGTGTCTGTGGTTCTGAAGTCTTATTCTGAACATGTGTCTGTGGTTCTAAAGTCTTATACTGAACATGTGTCTGTGGTTCTAAAGTCTTATTCTGAACATGTGTCTGTGGTTCTAAAGTCTTATACTGAACATGTGTCTGTGGTTCTAAAGTGTTATACTGAACATGTGTCTGTGGTTCTAAAGTCTTATTCTGAACGTGTGTCTGTGGTTCTAAAGTCTTATACTGAACATGTGTCTGTGGTTCTAAAGTCTTATTCAGAACATGTGTCTGTGGTTCTAAAGTCTTATTCTGAACATGTGTCTGTGGTTCTAAAGTCTTATAAGGAACATGTGTCTGTGGTTCTAAAGTCTTATAAGGAACATGTGTCTGTGGTTCTAAAGTCTTATACTGAACATGTGTCTGTGGTTCTAAAGTCTTATACTGAACATGTGTCTGTGGTTCTAAAGTCTTATTCTGAACGTGTGTCTGTGGTTCTAAAGTCTTATACTGAACATGTGTCTGTGGTTCTAAAATCTTATTCTGAACGTGTGTCTGTGGTTCTAAAGTCTAAAACAGGATGGTATGTGTCATATCTATATCTTTTACTAAACGTAGTTAGAGTGAAAGATAGATTCATGGTTCAAAGACAGTTGTTGTGTTTTCTGCTGAATACTGGGTTGAAACTCGTAAAATTGGGTTTAGTTGGAGCTTGATAGAACTAATTTGATGGACCTGGCGCTGGTGTCTTCTCTCAGTTTGTTTGGACCTTCTCTGAATAAGTCAAAGATCGTAGGGACTGCTGTTTACACTCTTCTTTTTATTACTTTCTTTGCTGCATCCCGGGGCCGTACAAAATACACCCATTTTAAGGTTTATTTGTGTCAAAGCGGCAGCAGGAGCAATGCCATAAACAGTGAGGCGAGAGCTGCGACCCCTACAAGTACGTCATCATTTTTCTGGCCAATCAGAGGCGTTGATATTAAAAGGTTATTTTACTGATTTATTACTTATCCCCTTGCAAAGGTGGGAAATACATGCTTTTAATGTGTTTTATCAGAAAAAAAAAATGATTTAATAACGTCAGTGCCCTTTTAAGTCTAGAAAATAAGTAAAATGTATTGTTGTTATTATTAGTAACGTCGTTTGTAAAGTTTGCAGATGTATCTCTCTGACTCGTGTTGGATTAAAACATGTAAACTGTCAAACTGGTCACGTGACCTTTCTTTGTTATCGACTCTTTCCCCTCGTGTTGTCGCTCTCAGGTTCCCCTTCGTTATCCAGCCGCTGTAGTTTTCTTCTTGTTGTGCGTGCTCGGCTGTGATTGGTCGAGAAACCGCAGCCCTTTCTCTGCCTACATCCCCCAGAAGGCCGTGCGAGGGCGTCAACCGCTGCTTTAACCCTTGACCCGCCACAGTTGTGTGAAGTCTTTATCTCGTGTCTGTAATAAAGTTTAATCATTTAAAGTCGAGGAAAAATACCCTAAATTAGGGTCTACATGATCCAGGGCTGGACAAGTTAGGAAATATCTTCAAAATTTAGCTCGACGTTTGTTTTGAGGGTATTATTTTAATCACTGTGGCGGGTCAAGGCCACAGGATATCACAAAGGGTTCGTGAAATGATCTCCATTATCTATTGATATTGATCACATGTCGTCCGTAAAGCTGCGTACCTAACTTTCTAACGGTAAACAGTTTTCATATATTCATATTTGATGAATTTCAGAATTCATCAAACTCCTGTCTCGGAAACAGTATTTCTGTCCTCTGTCTCATCTTTAGATCAGCTTTTTCAGACAGAAAAGTGGATAAGAGAAGACCGCCATCTTCTGTCCCTGTGCTCATGTCCCTGTGCTCCTGTCCCTGTGCTTCTGTCCTTGTGCTTCTGTCTCGTTGCTACAGACACATGCCTCTCAGATTCTGCTCCAGTCAGAGTCGACCTCAGGTGGAGACAAGTCCCTGTTGTGTGATTTTAATGTGGAGCGAGAGAAACACAAGAATAAATGACTTTAACATGAGAAATACTCACTGCGTCACCGTCGTCTCTCCGCTGTCTGCTTTATTTAAACTTTCGACATGAGTCACGTAACTGTGTGACGTCATGCCGTGGCTGTCCAGCAGAGGGCGCCACAGCTGTTCTGAACGAGGCCAAGGATCGTCATTCAGAGATAATGCTGCCTTCTTTATGGGACTCTGAGGAGCACAGGGACTGGCCTCCTGCTGGGACTCTGAGGAGCACAGGGACTGGCCTCCTGCTGGGACTCTGAGGATCACAGGGACTCTCCTCCTGCTGCTGGGACTCTGAGAAGCACAGGGACTGGCCTCCTGCTGGGACTCTGAGGATCACAGGGACTGGCATCCTGCTGGGACTCTGAGGATCACAGGGACTGGCCTCCTGCTGGGACTCTGGGGAGCACAGGGACTGGCCGCCTGCTGGGACTCTGGGGAGCACAGGGACTGGCCTCCTGCTGGGACTCTGAGGATCACAGGGACTGGCCTCCTGCTGGGACTCTGAGGAGCACAGGGACTGGCCTCCTGCTGGGACTCTGAGGATCACAGGTACTGGCCTCCTGCTGGGACTCTGGGGAGCACAGGGACTGGCCTCCTGCTGGGACTCTGAGGAGCACAGGGACTGGCCTCCTGCTGGGACTCTGAGGAGCACAGGGACTGGCCTCCTGCTGGGACTCTGGGGAGCACAGGGACTGGCCTGCTGCTGGGACTCTGGGGAGCACAGGGACACCGGACTCTAGACCTGAGGACCAGCCCCAGTCTGACTCTAGACCTGAGGACCAGTCCAAGTCTGACTCTAGACCTGAGGACCAGTCCCAGTCTGACTCTAGACCTGAGGACCAGTCCCAGTCTGACTCTAGACCAGAGGACCAGTCCCAGTCTGACTCTAGACCTGAGGACCAGTCCCAGTCTGACTCTAGACCTGAGGACCAGTCCCAGTCTGACTCTAGACCTGAGGACCAGTCCCAGTCTGACTCTAGACCTGAGGACCAGTACCAGTCTGACTCTAGACCTGAGGACCAGTCCCAGTCTGACTCTAGACCTGAGGACCAGTCCCAGTCTGACTCTAGACCTGAGGACCAGTCCCAGTCTGACTCTAGACCTGAGGACCAGTCCCAGTCTGACCCTAAACTCTAGACCTGAGGACCAGTCCCAGTCTGACTCTAGACCTGAGGACCAGTCCCAGTCTGACCCTAAACTCTGGACCTAGTTTGTAATCCATCTATAAACTATATCTGTAGCAGTTAGATTCTTTCATTTTTATTTTTTAAATGAATAAATGTTTTTCTTTTTTTTAATTGTTTTTACAGTAAATGGTCTTTTCTGTAACACACATAAATAATGACCATATTTAAACTACAGCCTTTTTGTAGTGATAAATATTGATCTTCAATAGTTTTTCTTGTAAAAGCGGCGTTCACCAAATTCTCAGATATGATCATAACTTGTTTTATATTAATTATGAATTATAAGCATGTATTAAGTCCTTAACCAGCCAAAGAGTTGCACCTGATTATTTACGGATTTGTTTTTTTATATGTAGTCAATAAATGACATTCTGAAAACTGTGAATATAAAATTTCATGATTTCTGTGAAGATTGAAATTAGGACTAAAAACCTGATCCACCCAAATGTTGTTCCTTATTTTTCTGTTGTCAAGTTGGACGCTCTACTCACCTCTGATCTTCAGGACCATCTTCTCTGAACACAAGAGGAGGAGTCATCGACCGGCCACTTTTCAGAGACACAGAGCTGGGAGCAGGTCCAGGTCTGGACCCGGGGCCAGATCCATGTGGGTCCATGTTGTAGAGGCTGGAATCAGAACAAGAGTCAATGTGACAACGGTTTGGACTTGGATTTGAATGGATTAAATATTGTATTTAACCTAAATCTTTAACCTCAACACAATGAAAAACAGGCACATAAATAAAAGTACTGTTGATTTAAATGTAGTATTCTGTAATGAAGGACTAAGAGGAGAACAGCTCAGGCTGAAGGCCACACTAACATCCATAGACTGTAAGTAACAAACAGATACAGATACTGGGGAACTACTGTGAGATTTCATAACACTTTGAAGCAACTTTTGTTAAAGTTAAACTCATCATTCTATCAATGTGCAGAAGCCAGTACTTTTCCCTTGTTTTGTCTATCTGAAGGCCAAGCTACATGGCACTGTGGCAGCTGCTGATTGGAGGTCTCCATGCCTCCGCTCTGTATAATACACTTGCATTCTGTTGTATCTGTGATCGTGTGCTTTGTTCGTGCTGTCTCTACCATCGACAATAAAACATGTCTTCTGTCTGAATTTAAGACGCGATCCCAGACTATGTCATCTTCTTCACTAGTGTCCAAGAGGAGACATCGCCTTGGAGCACAGACTCTTCAAAAACTATTGTTCTCATTAAAAATGTATGAATGAATACATTTTCAGTGTTATTTCACACGATTGGACACAAAACCCCATTCATAACTTAAAACATTTACTCTGAATATTATAAAGACAGATTTTCTCTATTTTAAATGGCAACTTATATGGTTTGGGTTCACAGCATCCATCATGCTCTTTACCTGTCATGATTTTACATCTACAGCAGAGGTCGCCATTGAGCAACCAACACGATCAATACACTTTGTCCACCTCAAAACTCATCTGTTTGTGTATTTTCACTTTTAAAAGTGCTTTTTACCAGTTGTGTAAGGTGATCTTGAGTCTAGAAAAGTAAAATGTATTGTTATTATTATTAGTGACGTCGTTTGTAAAGTTTGCAGATGTATCTCTCTGACTCGTGTTGGATTAAAACATGTAAAACTGTCAAACTGGTCACGTGACCTTTCTTTGTTCTCGGCTCTTTCCTCTCGTGTTGTCGCTCTCAGGTTCCCCTTCGTTATCCAGCCGCTGTAGTTTGTTGTGCGTGCTCGGCTGTGATTGGTCGAGAAGCCTTGCGAGGGCGTCAACCTTTACGTTGCTTTAACCCTTGACCCGCCACAGTTGTGTGACGTCTTTATCTCGTGTCTGTAATAAAGTTATAATAATTTAAAGTCGAGGAAAAATACCCTAAATTAAGGTCTACATGATCCAGGGCTGGACAAGTTAGGAAATATCTTCAAAATTCAGCTCAACATTTGTTTTGAGGGTATTATTTTAATCACTGTGGCGGGTCAAGGCCACAGGATATCACAAAGGGTTCGTGAAATGATCTCCATTATCTATTGATATTGATCACATGTCGTCCGTAAAGCTGCGTACCTAACTTTCTAACGGTAAACAGTTTTCATATATTCATATTTGATGAATTTCAGAATTCATCAAACTCCTGTCTCGGAAACAGTATTTCTGTCCTCTGTCTCATCTTTAGATCAGCTTTTTCAGACAGAAAAGTGGATAAGAGAAGACCGCCATCTTCTGTCCCTGTGCTCATGTCCCTGTGCTCCTGTCCCTGTGCTTCTGTCCTTGTGCTTCTGTCTCTTGTTGCTACAGACACATGCCTCTCAGATTCTGCTCCAGTCAGAGTCGACCTCAGGCGGAGACAAGTCCCTGTTGTGTGATTTTAATGTGGAGCGAGAGAAACACAAGAATAAATGACTTTAACATGAGAAATACTCACTGCGTCACCGTCGTCTCTCCGCTGCCTGCTTATACTTTCACTTTCGACATGAGTCACGTGACTGTGTAACATGCCGTGGTTGTCCAGCAGAGGGCGCCACATCTGCACTGAACGAGGGCAAGGATCGTCAATCAGAGATAATGATGCCTTCTTTCTGGGACTCTGAGGAGCACAGGGACTGACCTCCTGTTGGTCCCAGTGTCAGGACTAAACATGAGGAGGCAGCGTTTCAGATTTATTCAATTAAAATCAGGAACAGTCTTCCTGAGAATGTGAGACAGGCCTCTTCTCTGACAATGGTTAAAAACAGTTCTGTTTTTCTGCAACTGAAGGATTGTGTCGTTACTGTGATTATTTATGATTCTAAGCCTTCTGTGTTTGTTTTTTCATCACTTTGAGTTTCCTTTTGTATGAACTGTGCTGTACAATAAACATGTCTGATATATGTGTGTAAAACTGAGCTGTGTGTGTCTCTCCTCTCCACAGATCTGAGCTGGAGTCAGTAAAACACGGGACCAAACAACACGCCTCCCTTTCACACAGTTGCACGTGTTTGTCAGTGAATATTGTAAAGTGGTTCTGAGGAGTCCTCTCTGGCCACATGTGTACACAGGTCTGCTGCTGTGGGAGAAAGGGAACAGCTCCCTCTGCTGCTGCACTCAGGTACTGCACACAAAGACATTTTCAGTTTTAAATTATCAACTTTTTTTTCATTCAGTCAATGCATTTAAAAATGAACCATAATTAGGACAACTACAATTAAAACATAAATATTTCTACTTGATGCATTGTACCTGAGTTAACCTTAGGCTAATTTAATTCATAGTCCCCCGGCAGGGAACAACACTCCACACTCAGGTGGGTTATTAGCCAAAGCCCAAACATACATACAATAAAAGACACGTGTGTATATGTAATGCGGGTTTGGTGTGAACGGGGCGGATTAAAGACGTGTAATAAATAAAACAACTTTCATGGACTAAAAGAGCTGTGTTTCCAATAAAACAAGAGGTTGAAAAACGTGAAGTAATTTTAATACAATAAAGCTGTGTTCACACCAAAAGCTTCAAAACGCAGTGACACGCGTTAATTGACACTGATTTATTATGAAATTGACGCGTGTCATTGTGGTGTAAAGCCGCATTCAGACCGCATCACGCTTCGCGTCGGGTTTTAATGCAAAGTCTATGGTGAGGCGCGTTGCAGCGTCAAAATGCACCTCCAGGTACTGCTGAGTAAAGCCGCACAGACTTGGCGGGAAAGTCAAAGGGGAGGAACAGGAGCGGAAAATGGACGCCTATAGGAGATAAACTTTGCTCAACTTTTCCTCGGGACGTTCGTGCAGCGACCAATCAGAGAGCCCCAAAGTGGTCACGGGGACATTGGTCTGAGCGAGCAGACTGAACATACTGTAAACAGCCAAAACAGGAGCTACACCAGGACTAAACTGGACTAAACTGGTCTGAATGCACCATCAACGCGCTGTTGTCGGTTAGATCAACTCGCTCAAAAGTAGGCGTGGATTAGATATTTTTTACAATAAAAGGCCACTGCGGGATCTCTAAAGTTCAAAATACAGAGGTTTTTTTCTCGTAGTGTTTCTGAGGAAGGATAGCTCTTGGATATAATCCACGTGAAGTCAGACGTGTTGTTGCTGTTCCAAATACTGTCTGTGCCTCGGAAACTGTTTCCCACAACACTGAGCAGCTGCAAGGTGTGCAGGTTGACCTAAAGCTGGGACTGTGGTGTGTCCACTCACTGAAGGCGCTCACAACAGCAATGTACAAACACACTCAGGGTCAGGTCCAGAGTAACGTTTGCATTCCAGTAACAGGACACGTTATTGAAGCACAGGTCGCTATTGCAAATCAGGGCAAACGTGAAGTGTAATGAACTCACTATTGTGACAGCAAACTCTGAAAGCAGCGCATTTCTGTCGCAGGAGGGTGCGGACATGCAGCTGTATCTCGCTCCCCCTACAAATACACTGTCGGCCATCTGCAACTGTCAGCTACATGTCAATCAATCAATCTTAATTTGTAATGACATTTATCAACATTCATGGACATTGGTCTCTCTATGGTCCAATACACATGTGTTCTATATTCTTTATGTGTTTTAATTGTTGTGAAGAAGATGAGCCAAGTCTGGGATCGTGTCATAAATTCCGACAGAAGACATGTTTTATTGTCGATGGTAGAGACAGCACGAACAAAGCACACGATCACAGATACAAGAGAATGCAAGTGTATTATACAGAGCAGAGGCATGGAGACCTCCAATCAGCAGCTTCCACAGTGTGCTTGTAGCTTGGCCTTCAGATAGACAAAACAAGGGAAAAGTACTGGCTTCTGCACATTGATAGAATGATGAGTTTAACTTTAACAAAAGTTGCTTCAAAGTGTTATGAAATCTCACATTCCCCCCTCTGGTCATACATTCACGTGTGACCATCAGGATCGATAAACAGCAACATAACATCATAACTCAATACTTCAAAACTCATACTTCACTCGGTACTTCAAAAAACTCAGAACTCGGAATACTTCAAAAACTCAGAAAACTCATAAAACATGTTCAGATCTTTCATAAAACTTGTCAACAATCTTCAGTAAAATACCAAACTTCATCAGTCGATGGTGGTTCCAGATATTGCTTTGAAAACAGTCTCTCCCACTTCTCCGTGTTGGTTTCTTCAGGCTGCATTTGTGTCGAGCCATGAATTCTTCTGTGACGTGTCTTTCAATCACTCGTTTCAGCTTCAGTGTCCAGATTCAGCAATTCAATTCAGTCCAAATTATGTCCAAATTCAGAAATCCAGATTGTTCCAAATTATGTCCTTGCAAAAGAGGACGATGGTATTATCCATGTCTCAGCAGCTCACAGCAGGCCTGAGTGGAATCAGGGGCTGTGCAGATTGTCCATGTGCTGGTCCAGATGCATGGTTTCTCTTGAGGTTTCTCAGTTTTGGCTTAAAAAAAAAAACACTTTTTGTGTAAAAAAAAAAAAGTCTTCTGTTCTCTAGATGTTACAGACAATGCCCGCATTCTCCACCACCTGAAGAAGATGAGCCAAGTCTGGGATCGCGTCTTTAATTCAGACAGAAGACATGTTTTATTGTCGATGGTAGAGACAGCACGAACAAAGCACACGATCACAGATACAACAGAATGCAAGTGTATTATACAGAGCGGAGGCATGGAGACCTCCAATCAGCAGCTTCCACAGTGTGCTTGTAGCTTGGCCTTCAGATAGACAAAACAAGGGAAAAGTACTGGCTTCTGCACATTGATAGAATGATGAGTTTAACTTTAACAAAAGTTGCTTCAAAGTGTTATGAAATCTCACAGTTGATTCTCTGATCTGTGTTGGTGATTTCAATGGTTTTGTTAAGTCTCTGAGATGACTGCTCTTGTGATTTAGGAATATACAAGAATAAATTGTTTTGGATTGTATTTGTAGAACACCTTTCATGCACAGGGCAACACAAAGCGCGTCACAGTCCACCTCACAGAAGCCACAAATCATCACATAAAACACCAGTCAAATCACAAAGGCAAACATCAACGTCACACAAGGGATTAATGTAATAACCAGTGATGGGCAGTAGCTACTAGCTTAACTACATTTTTCAGTAGCCTTCACGGTAGCGTCACTATTTACAAAATCAAGTAACTTTTCTTTAGCTAAGCTATTTTATTGATCAAGTAGCGCTGTAGCGTCCTCCAAAGCTGTTTTCTCACGGACATTTTTCCTGCAGCCATAACACAAACAAATTAGGAAGACAGAATGCTATTGCGCATGTGTAGGCCTTGGTGACCATACACACACACACACGCACACACACGCGCACAATTTTATTTACAATTGCTAAAGGCATTCTTTGGTTTTGTTGTTCATTTTTTGGGCTATTGTTCAATAAATATCTAATTTTTAACCTTTATCTGACTGACAGTTGTATTTATCACTAAAATTGCATGGACTGCAGTTTGTTAAATTGAAAGTAGCTTCTAAATAGCAAGCTACTTTTGACAGAATTTTATAACTTAGCTTGCTACATTTTTATGGATGGTTGCCTCAGTGTAGTGAAGCTGAATTTATTGTAGAGTAGCTTGTAGCTTAGCTCACTACATAAATCAAGTAGCTTGCCCATCACTGTTAATAACCACATTGCATTAAAAATGGAGATACAATCCCTCTGCTGTATGCACAGGCGTCGGACTGCGGGGTTAAAGGGTACGGAGTACTTAGGGCCCAAGGCGGGAAGGGGCCCTCTAAAGTCTGTCTATACAGTATATAACTATGTATGTATAAGGCATTCATTTAGTGGGAGCCCATCGAGTGTGTTTGTACCAACTCCCTGAATCCAAGTCCAAAAGCTGGGAGCTAAAGCCTGGTTCACAGGGCAGGATATTAGACCAATTTATGACCCGATTTACCCCTAACAACAATCTTAAAAACGCTCAGATTTTTGTTAAATAAATTTGATGGATTTTCCATTTGTGGTGTGTTAAGACTGCGTCGTTCAGAAGGACTTCGGGACTGCTCCGATCTCAAATCAGGGATATCCAACATGCTGGATTGTTTTGGCCTGATTTCTCTTTGTGTGCGTTGTCCTCCGGGGACAGACGAGCACGCTGCCAGTGACTGTGGCATGTAGCCAATCAGATGACGAGGTGACGAGGGTGACGAGGAAACACCGGGAAAAAAAATCATAACAGTCAGCGGCACAGCATAAAGTTCGGTGGACATCGGAGATGGAGGAACAACAGTTGACCTATGGCAACACAAACTATCGCCACTGCATCCTCTTTGTCTGCCATGATTTCGTCTGAAGTCACGCTTGATCGAGAGATTGTGAGATTTCCGTCTGACCTGGGAATGCTCGGGGGTGAAATCGGTTTGTGTGTGGTGTGTGTGCTTTTGCCGTGTGGCTGCGCACCACACACAGTACGACCAAAGTCATCTTGTGTGAACCAGGCTTTAGGTGAGCCCATAGTCTTGTTTCAAGTAACTACTTGGGCAACAGTAGCTCAGTTGGTAGAGCATTGGCCTTCAAGGCAGAAGGTCATGGGTTCTATTCCACCTCAAGACTTTCACCATTGACTCCCACTGACTACTGTCGTTGTGTCCTTGGCAAGACACTTAACCTCTGGCAACACCAGCCACAGTGGGGCGGCTGTGGCTGTAAAGTGCCAAACTGCCGTTGTGTCCTTGGGCAAGACACTTCACCCCCATTGCCTAGAATGAGTCTGGTGTGTGTGTGAATGGTTGGTGGTGGTCGGAGGGGCCGATGGCACAGATTGGTTGCCTCTCTTCTGTCAGTGTGCGCCAGGGCAGCTGTGGCTACAGTAGTAGTTTATCACCACCGTGTATGGAGTGAATGAATAATGACACATGTGAAGTGTCTTTGAGTGTCCAAAAAAGCGCTATATAAAACTGATGCATTATTATTATTACTTACTTACTAATAATAGAAATGTATACTCAATGACTGGTTGTCATGAATGTTCTGGGTTGTTATTGCTTGATAATCTAACCCTTTATGTGCCCATTGACAAGTTTGTACATGTAGGAATACACACTAAAGGATGTGAAAAATAATTTATACAAAGTGTCCCTCGAGCTTGCAGTACTCAACACCCCAAGTCCACCATCGTGATGCTCAACCAATTCATCACAATCTCATTAAAGTGCCTTCATTTAACATATGCAAAAAACGAACACACACACACAAATCTTTATTCACAAAATTAACATATATACTGTGCCTCGGTTGAATTGAACCCGATACATTTGGTGTGGTACCACCGACCACATAGACCACATGCAATCTGCAAAGATGGATGTTAGTGGTCAGTAAACTATGCCATCATAAACAACTTCCCCAGGGATCACTGTCAGGGCCACTCTCATCCTCCTCACACTCGTCCTTCCTCCCTGTGCAGCGGAACCCAGAATTGTAACAAAAATCGGATATGTTTTCTCCAAAAAGTTATTTTTAAAGTTTACACAATTCTTACAGTTGGTCATCTAATTAACTTTGTGATACCAGTGCTTTAGAGCAGGGTTTGTGAAATTTGCAGCCTGCGCAGATTCACCCCAGCAGCATCCGCCCGGAACTCGACCTCCTCCCCCACAAGGATCTGCTCGGCCAGCTGTGAAAAAGGTAAGTTGTCATGGGTGGTCACTCTGTCGGGGGGGTCTATGGTGGAACACCGCCAGGTGCTGAGGTCCAGTGAAGGCCTGCACCTTTGCACCAGCTCCCTGCAAACAGATCCACTCACTCACAAAGGCCACAGTGGGATTGAAGTTTCAGAAAATCTTACAAACCTGGTTACACTGCTGCACTTCTCCACCTGCCCGGGTCTGGCAACCAAACAGGTCGAGGTACAGCACCCTCTTCTCCTTCACATTCATGATCTGCAGGAGGATGGGACGGTGTTTTTTAAGATACAATAAATTAAGAACCTGAGAATTATGACTCTGAGGGAAACTATAGCTAGAAGCTCAGAGTTTGTGCCTATAGTATCTCACCACAAGTGTCCAGTGGTGGTTTGTGCAGACTGCACCAAATGTGACAGGATGTTTGAAGAGTCCTAGCTATAAAATGAATATTAAACAACACAAACATTTCAATAGATTAACTACCATTTCAAATCAAGCTTTGGATAGTCTACCTTCTTAATTTAACCCTACTTTTACCCTTCCAAATTGGGGTCAGGGTGAGAGAGTCAATCAAACAAGCATTCACCCTTCTGGCGAGCAAATGAAAGCCACCACCTGCAAAGCACATTGTATGAGGTCATTAATCCACTAGGACACAATCAAATCAAATTTTAATTATAAAGGGCTTTTTCATAAAAAAAAAAAAAAGTAACACAAAGTGCTTTACAGTTTAGTTAAAAACAATCAAAGATGCCCACCGCTAAACCCCACTGCCCCACAGACCCATCCAAAACCACATTCATTAAAAACTATACACCCACATGCATACAGACATACAAATGCACGCACGCACATACAAACACACACAGGCGCATATAAAGTCACAACATAAAGGTAAAATAGGTATAACCATGGACAAATAGGACACAGTAGGCCATACCTCACTCTCCACCTCTTTCCCTGGGCCAAGATTCATTAAATTACTGGTGAAGAGCCTAAATGTCTCAATTCGGCTCCACAGCGTATGCCCTGAGCTCATGCCTGCTGCGATCAGCTGTAGAACTGGAAACCAGCAAAATTGACAGGTTTGAAGGAAATGTGAAATGTTCGCTTTACTTACAGCTCTCCAGCCTCAGGAGTGGGTGGCCTTAAGTCAGGAGCCTCTCGGTCCAGTGCAAGTGGAGTGCCCAGGTCAAGAGAAGGTGGAGGGACCACTTCCATCTTCTTATATCCCCCTTTAGATTGGCCGGTATCCTGGAGGAAGGAACAATGTAGGACGACCATGTGGTCAATGCTCATACATTTCCTCACGGTGCCATCAGGGGCCTTCAGGCTGACAGTCTTCCCATCGTAGATGTGGAAAGGCCCCAGCATGTCCTTCTCCAGTTTCATGCCTTTTCGCTGCTCTTGTCTTATGTTTGTTCTTGGCCGGTGTGTTCCCTCTTCTGCTGATGCTTTTGCTGACTTTTCCTGTTGTTGCTTAATGCAACTTTCTGCTCAACCCGTAGGGTCTGCAAGCCAGGCCACAGCTCCTCTGCTGACGCATTGAGACGGCTCCACCACCTGTTTGATACAAAAGCAAAGAAACAGTAGAAAAGAAGTACATACAAAATAAGCAACAGTGACTTTCCCTCAAACTCCCCTGGAATTCCAGACGGGTACCTGGCCTCCCTCCCAAATAAAATAATATATGGATTATGCCGTGTGGTCAGCTGCATTTTGGTCCTTATAGCAAACATGGTGGGCTGGAGGTATTCCACCCACGTATTTGGAAGGTCCCCCACCATTTTATTAAGGCACCTGAGTACATAACAGATAAATGTGTTATTCATTCATAATCATGAATTCATTTTAATCACATTAAACATGAAAGTAAAGAAAAGATTCCTCACCTTTGAATGGTCCCATTCATTTTCTCCACCAAACCATTGGAAGGGTGGTAGGGGGAGCACATACTGCGCTTCACCCCTAGTTTGCAGCAAACTGCTGCATTCAACTGAAATCACAATGCTGAATACGAAAAGGGCTTACAGTATTCCTCCCTAGGCCTACCTCATTAATAAACTCAGTGCCACGGTCTGTGAGGATCCTCTATGGGGCTCCGAAACGATAAAATAACTCCAATATGCAGCTTGTCACCTCTTCTGCTGATTTAGTTTTTAGAGGAAAGGCCTCCGCCCACTTTGTGTAGTAGTCGATCATGACACAAATGTACTGGTGTCCTTGGGGAGTCGGGGTCAGCTTCCCCACCAGGTCCAGTCCAACCCATTCAAATGGCTCAGTGACCTATAGGTACACAGTGTTGGGCACGTTACTTTGAAAAAGTAATTAGTTATAGTTACTAGTTACTTCTCCCAAAAAGTAACTGAGTTACTAACGGAGTTACTCCACTATAAAAGTAACTAGTTACCAGTAAAAGTAACTATTGCGTTACTTTTTCGTTTTGTTCTGGAACATAATGTGCACCCGACGTGCGCATTTTTACCTTTAACAGTGCCAATATTTCCATCTAGAAAAGGCTGTTTTGCTGCTGAAGTCCTGTTCACTCTTCATCTGTCTCTGTGCACTAAGCACTAAACACCGGTGACGAGCGGTGAGGCTGGTGAAGCACTGACTTCAGTCCAATCAGATGAACATATACATCATATAAATCAAGTGGACAATTTGTTTGGCTACAGCAAAATATGTTTTATGCCCGCATTGTTTGTTCATACAAAACGCAAAACTATGAGTTATGGGTCTTACCTTATAGCTATACCTTATAAATGACCTGCACAGTCCACTTCGGTTCAGACCAGTTCCTTGTTTAAATCCAGTTAATGGTTTGAGCGTAGATATGTAATCCTCCATTTGGAAATGAGTCCAATGAGTTTTAAAAAGTAAAACAAAACGCGTGTGTCCTCCATAAACTCCTGTGTTTATGGAGGACACAGGAGTCGAGTGCATCCAATTTCTAAAATCAACCGTCTTACACTTCACCTCTCTTTCTTATCATTCCTATAGTAATTGAAAAATTACCCTATGTGCATTTTAGATTATGTAAAAATGTGTTATATGTATGTTAGCCAAACCTGTTGCTGTCCTTAGCAGATAAACCAGGAAGAGAAAGGAGCTTATCGATGGAATTGTATGCAGCCGACTTCTGCGCTCACATGCGCTACTCTGAGGCCTCACGGTGATACAAGCCGTGGTTGAGCGCGATTAAGACCAATATTTGTTTCAAAAACACAATTTATGAGCCATCCTCTCAACTGTAGACATGTGGATTGTAAAGGAAATATGATTTACATCAGCCAATAATGCTGAGAGGTTTTCTCATCCTCCCTTCTCTCATGACAACACGTTCATTGTGCGTCTTGAGTAACGCGCAGTAACGGGATGTCAGAAATGATAACGGCGTTATAGTTACTGTCAAAGTAATTAGTTAGATTACTCGTTACTGAAAAAAGTAACGGCGTTAGTAACGCCGTTACTAGTAACGCCGTTATTCCCATCACTGTAGGTACAACATATGATCAACATGATCTGAAACATGCAAGAACTGCCAAATAAATTTGACTCATTACCTCAATGGGCTGGTATTGTACTTTGGCCTTCAAGTTTGCTCTCCTCTTTTGGCACTCAGGGCACTGCTTCACCTTTATTAGTAATAATAGTAATATAAGAAATCCTTATCAATATTATACATTATTGATGACAATGCCACAAAGTGCATTTTATTGACAGTGTATCAATTTGCCCACACTTACCCATGTCAGAATGTCCCTCTCCATTTCGATTTTATTGCACGGTGGGTTTTCTCCCAGAGCGCCTGTATCAGTCTGCTCTGTGTCTGAGCCAGACTCGGCGTCTGCTTCTTCTTATATTAAATAAATTACTTTTACTTCACAGCACATGTACGTTGATTGTGTTACTTGTTAAGAACATTACTACTCATACAAATAATATTGCTCATAATAACAATAATGACAACAAAACAGCAGCTACATGACAGACCTGCTGCTGCTGCTGCTGCTGCTGCTACTGCTCCTGCTGCTGCTGCTACTACTGCTCCTGCTGCTGCTACTGCTCCTGCTGCTGCTACTTCTGCTGCTCCTGCTGTTGCTGCTGCTCCTGCTGCTGCTGCTGCTACTGCTGCTGCTCCTGCTGCTGCTCCTGCTGCTGCTACTGCTGCTGCTGCTACTGCTGCTCCTGCTGCTGCTACTACTGCTGCTGATGCTCCTGCTGCTGCTACTACTGCTGCTGCTGCTACTGCTGCTGCTGCTACTGCTGCTCCTGCTGCTGCTACTACTGCTGCTGCTGCTCCTGCTGCTGCTACTACTGCTGCTGCTGCTCCTGCTGCTGCTACTGCTGCTGCTGCTACTGCTGCTCCTGCTGCTGCTACTACTGCTACTGCTGCTCCTGCTGCTGCTACTGCTGCTCCTGCTGCTGCTGCTGCTCCTGCTGCTGCTACTGCTCCTGCTGCTGCTGCTACTACTGCTCCTGCTGCTGCTACTGCTCCTGCTGCTGCTACTGCTGCTGCTGCTGCTACTGCTGCTGCTGCTCCTGCTGCTGCTCCTGCTGCTGCTGCTCCTGCTGCTGCTGCTCCTGCTGCTGCTACTGCTGCTGCTGCTACTGCTGCTCCTGCTGCTGCTGCTGCTACTGCTGCTGCTCCTGCTGCTGCTCCTGCTGCTGCTACTGCTGCTGCTGCTACTGCTACTGCTGCTCCTGCTGCTGCTACTGCTGCTCCTGCTGCTGCTGCTGCTCCTGCTGCTGCTACTACTGCTGCTGCTGCTACTGCTGCTGCTCTTGCTGCTGCTACTGCTGCTGCTGCTGCTTAGGGGTGGGCGATATGGCCTAAAATTCATATTGCGGTATAATTTGGTGTGTGAATTTCAATATAGGTCTAGCAGATTCTTGCAAAAAATAGTCAAGATTGTTACTTATTTATATATTATAATCTAATATATATTTTTTTTTAGTTAGAAAATCAGTTGTGAGACGAATAAAGAGACAAATGTTGTAACATACATTATTTATGTATGTTACAGTAAAGACCATTTACTGTAAAAGCAATTTTTTAAAAGAAAAACATATGCATTAATTTAAAATATAACAAAACTCACAAATGTTTAACTCAATGCCTGTAGCAGCTAGACATGGTCATTATTTAAAGTGTCTGAGAGTTTTGTGCAGGTACATGACTTCAGTAAAAGCTGTTTGTTCGTTTACAAAGCTGGTCTTGCCATTTGTTGACGCTCCCTAAGCGCTTTTCTCTGCGCTTGCAGTGAACTGGATGATTCAATGGATTTATGTTCATTAAAACAGCACATTGGATTTGAACAATTGATGTAAATGATCATTTTGGCACAATTTTGTTTAACAAAGTAGCTAATGAAAATATTGACCGCGAAGGTCCGAATCTGACGCTAACTTTCGCAAACTTCTGCTGTGATGCTGCGGCACACGCATGGATCTATTTTGGCTCACGCTGGCGCTTCGAGTCTACGCCCCTTTGACACTGATTGGCCAAAAGGTAGACGCTTAAACTGTGATTATTGTGTGTGTATTTACAGTGCCTTGCGAACCTTTCAACATTTTGCCACATTTCAGTCTTCAAACATAAAGATATAAAATGTAAATTTTTTGTCATGAATCAACAACAAGTGGGACACAATCGTGAAGTGGAACGAAATTTATTGGATAATTTAAACTTTAAAAAAAAAAAAAAACTGAAAAGTGGGGCGTGCAATATTATTCGGCCCCCTTACTTTCAGTGCAGCAAACTCAGTCCAGAAGTTCAGTGAGGATCTTTGAATGATCCAATGTTGTCCTAAATGACTGATGATGATAAATAGAATGCACCTGTGTGTAATCAAGTCTCCGTATAAATGCACCTGCTCTTTGATAGTCTCAGGGTTCTGTTTAAAGCGCAGAGAGAACCATGAAGACAAAGGAACACACCAGGCAGGTCCGAGATACTGTTGTGGAGAAGTTTAAAGCCGGATTTGGATACAAAAAGATTTCCCAAGCTTTAAACATCTCAAGGAGCACTGTGCAAGCAGTTAAATTGAAATGGAAGGAGTATCAGACCACTGCAAATCTACCAAGACCCGGCCGTCCCTCCAAACTTTCATCTCAAACAAGGATAAGACTGATCAGAGATGCAGCCAAGAGGCCCATGATCACTCTGGATGAACTGCAGATAACTACAGCTGAGGTGGGAGAGTCTGTCCATAGGACAACAATCAGTCGTGCACTGCACAAATCTTGCCTTTATGGAAGAGTGGCAAGAAGAAAGCCATTTCTCAAAGATATCCATAAAAAGTCTCGTTTAAAGTTTGCCACAAGCCCCCTGGGAGACACACCAAACATGTGGAAGAAGGTGCTCTGGTCAGATGAAACAAAAATCG